TTTTTACAATAACTCATAATGTGATTTCGTATTTTAAAAATTTTCTTAATACATTTATAAGCTAGAATGTCATCAATACGTCTCAAAAGTTCACCACAATATTAAATTTGAACAAGTTATTATATAAAATAGTAGGTACATATATATCATAAAATTTATTCTAGTTTGTTAGTACTTAGTAGATAGGTAAAACAGGCTACCATGACATATTAGATTTGAATCTTTTGACTAGTAAACTTTCATTACTCATATTTATTTTTGGGTTGGTCTTGAGACCCATCCACTTAAGCACTGCCTGACGTATCAAGTGGCATGTAGTATATGCGTTTTGGACTTTGCGTACTGAGTGTTGTTCAACTATTTTAACTTTCAATATTAAATAAAAACAATGTGATGAAATGAGTTGGTGGCAATTTCTGAACGGTGCGACCTGTCCCAATTTATCTTTAAGGTATTATTCGATTTGTAGTAGTGTGAGGCAGGGTATGAATAGTACTTTATTTTATCTTAATTTGGATCAATATTTACTGTATTTCTCTTTTTTGACTTTTCTTAAATAATATTTTCGCTCACTCCTAAAACTTTAAATAACTGAAAGACTCCAATTTTTCAAATAATAATTAGACTCAATATTAAGTCTATTATTTCTCTTTTTCATTGATACATCATTTTCCCTTTATTTTCTTGAGAAATAATGAAATTTTTGCGCCATTTTTCTTTAAATAACATGTAATTTAAAACGGATCGACATGTTCCGCTTCAAACCCACACGAATATCACTCAATCCAATTTGCACTTAATATGAAGCAGATAAAGATATCGAGATACCCGGCCTACCCAGTACCCACTCTCATCATCACTACCAGCGAATAGGGGTGGCTATTTGGACCGGGACCGGATTAAAAACCGGAAACCGGACCGTATAACCCGGACCGAGACCGGACCGGAACCGGATAGTAAACAATCCAATCCAATCTTTGGGCTTAGATTTGAGGTAAAAAACCGGATAAAGACCGGATAAGAGAGCTCAACACCCAAAACTTAAAGGTAATTTGCATAAACGGTCACAAACCTTTGCACTTAGTACAAAACTTAACCAACTCCTCACCCTTTAAGGCCTTAGGCCACTCAAATCCCACAATCTCAATGTAAAATCAAGACCGAATTGGGACCGGACCGGATCAAAACCGGAAAGGGATCAAGACCGGACTGTATCCAATCCAATCTTCGGTCCTTATATCTTCAAAAAAACCGGACTGGACCGGATCAATTTGGGCCAATTTAACCGGACCGGACCGTATAGCCACCCCTACCAGCGAAGGCACCTGTCTATCTATACCATCGTACAAGAGACTTACCTAGTGATAGCAGTGGCGGAGGTAGTGCATATCAAGGTGGGTCCCGGGACCCACCTTGGCTCGGGAGAAAATATGTACGTCTAGGTTAATAGTGGTAGAAGGTTGTATCGGATAAGTCAACGGTAGGATATTTTATGCTGAAAATGTGGTTTAATCATGGTTCAACCATTTCATATCACTAATATCTTCTATCAATTTCGCTTCCAGCATGAGATTTTTCTTATCGAACCACTAGTACGCTACGGTTTTTCACTCTTTAATACAATAATTAAGTGACAATGAGTTTTTTCACCTAAAATTCATCAATATTGATCAATATTCTACCATCAAACAATAATTATATCATGAATTTAGCTATCATCATTATATATAATACATTTTAGTTTCTACATAAATAATATTAGCATAAAATATAACTTCATCCTCCAAGCTTCAAATTCTTAATGTATCCATTATCTATCGCCAAAGCTTCATTTTGTTGAAACTCACTAGATCCTTTTTATCCTAATAATGAATTCAATAAATCAGGTTTTAGACTCAAACTAAGGCTACACTGCAAGTGTTGAAAGAAAATTTTCAATGAACCATGTGGATATTAAAAAAAATTCGGACTCACCTTACATAAAATCCTGGCTACGCCACTGAGTGATAGCCGCAACTTAGGTTAGTAACACGAAACTAAACCATTGCAGACGTCGCCGGACGGCGTCCAATGTGCGATTAACCGGGACATTATCCGTTTCCATGCAATTGAAAGCCAAAAGATCTTTTTGTCGTCTCCTAGATAATAATGTGCTTAATTAGTAGGATTTCATATGTTTATGTTTCCCAATTTCCTTTAATTAGTTTTCCCATTTTCTTAAGCTTGATTCTTTGACTGGTCTCCGGTCATGATTGAATGGGCCGCCGATTCTTCATTCCTTAAGTTAAGGCACAAACGGCCCATGAATCAAACAAGAGAGTAGTGAATAGTGATGGTTTCTATGCATATATGGTTAACGATTTGACCCTTTCAAAGTATATTATTGTAAAGAAGTTGTTAACTAATATGGAACTCTCCCAACAACTTGAATTATTAGGATTATTTGATTTATAATATGGTATTAATATTGGTTTGTCCTTGATGTCACGTGTTCAATTCCTGACGAACCCAATATTAATCATTGTTTTTCCTTGTTTGCTTTAATATATTAACCATTATACAAAATTATTGTATTAAAGTACATGGTATGGTTGTGCCTGTACAAATTTCAAACCCGTCAGTAGGCTTTCATTTGAAGGGACGTGTAAAAAAATGGTTAAATACCATATATGAACCTATCGCAACGGCTCAAACTATTCAGACCAATTGGTTTATTGCAATTAGCATTAGCTTATTTGAGAGTGTACTCATCTATAAATAGAAGATCAACCTTCATTCTTTCTTCATCTAACCAATACACACTCTAATAATCCATAGTTTCCCCACCAAAGGCCATTAAAAAATGGGCACTATTTCGCCTCACAACTTGATCAACATGTGCATTGTGGCTATACTAGTCGCCAATGTCGCCGGAGATGGTCATCATCACCTTGATGGATACACACCTCCGGCTCCTTATACACACAAATCATGGCCGCCTCCTCCACATGCTTATTATTATAAGTCTCCCCCGCCGCCATCGCCACACTGGTCGGTGCCGTCACCACCACCGCATTCTTCTCACCATGCCGATAAGTTTGGCTCTCACGACGACACATACTCTCCTTCTTCTGATCATACATCTAGCCAGAACCATGAAAAGCCTTCGCCGTCTTCTCGTGCCCACAAGCACCCTCACAAGTCTCCTCCGCCGCCGCCTCATCATGGCAAGAAGGATCCTTCTCCGGTCAAAAAACCTCATCACAAGTCTCCTCCACCGCCGCCTCATCATGTCAAGAAGGATCTTATGGCGCTGCCGCATCCTGCCCGCAAATCTCCTCCGCCACCGCACCATGGCAAGAAGGATCCTCCTCCTCGTGCCCACAAACCTCATCGCAAATCTCCACCGCCACCTCACAAACGCAAATCACCACCAACGCATCACTGAAGAATATAATCCACGTCTATGTCACGGTTTATCGACTTCTTCAACGGGTTACTCGTCACTAATTAACTATGGATGACTATGAAGATCCTGAAGAATAGTATTTTTAGAATGAAGAATAATTAAATGTATCGATCAAGTAAGATTGGTATACGTACTAGCTAGTAGTTTGCCTTTTGTTGGTTTCTTGCTTTATCTGGTTGATTTCTTCGGAATTTCATAGTTAAGATCGTCGTCTAGCAGATGATATTCACCATGATTTCAACATTGTACCATTTTCCACTTTATTTGAGTTTGGTTTCCTTAATACAATTACCATCATTACTAGCTTTCTTCTTTTTTTATTTATCTTCCTCTTTCTGTATATGTGATCATGCTATATACGATAATATGGAATTTTGAGGTTGCTTAATGTTGATTGTTGAAGGAGCATGACAAAAAGGAATGATGCAAAAAAAAAAAAAAAAAAAAAAAAAAATTTAACGAGTCAAATGTAACAGTTACTTCAGAAATTGTAATAGTTGGGTTCCCAGTTACTTCAGAATTGACGTCATCACGGACTTTGGTGATCGTCGATTTATAAATCATAATGATTATCATGTGGTTTAGCAACCATTCGAGGTTGGTTGATTAGAAAACCATGACGTTAATTAGCTAGAAATATTCATTTGCGATAGTTAATCCCACCTTCCACTATGTTAACCAAATTGAAACGGTTAAGGATCCTTAATGGTAACCTCGAATAGAAATATTCAAATACACCTTTACAAAAAGTGCGAACAAGAATTTAGTCTAGCGATAATACCACTAGTCTTGAATCTAATGGTCTCAAATTCCATTCTATTAAGTAGCTCATAACCACAAAAAGTAAAAACCTATATCACCCTTATAAAATAACTTTGCAAAAAGTACCAGATTAACATCCAAGTTGTACGTGTACATCAGTGTGTCTGGCCAGACATGCAGGCAGTTGGTTTTTAACCGAATATTAATGATTTGTTGGTGATTTTTTTCATTTTTATTAATCGAATCGAAATTCGAGTATGAAGCTATCGATCAAGTCTCAATATTAACAGAGTTGACGAGATTCATCAAACTAGACCTCTCGATTATAACTAGCCTCGAAATATACCATGTGGTGAAAACCAATTAATACCCAATAGTTCGCTCGAATTGAGAGAGTTATTAAGTTCTATAAATCCAGTCCTCTGCACCATTCCATTTACATATCAGATAGCCCCATCATTAATAAATTATATAATTTCTTTTCCCAATCGAATCAATATATATTAGTACTCATTTTACTCTCTCGAATCATGTGGCTAATTAAGCCCCCTAATCTTGACCCTTTGTACGTAAGAATGGCATCTCCAACCCACAAACCCACAATAAACAAAAATAAACAATAGAGCACGTTTCTGGTCACACTAAAATAAATCCGTTACAGCACGTGCAACTATTGTTTGTCGGTGTAGGCGCACTATTTTGACTAAGAAACATCAAACCAACTTATAAATAGCTATTGCTGTCTCCTTCCGTCATCCGTTCCAAGTTTCTTTCCATACGTTTATATATGATGTCGAAGAAGATCTCGGAAGCAGATAATGATGGTGTTCGTCAGCCGGAGAGCAGCAGCTGGGATTCAGATCTGCAGTTTCTAGATTCCATTCAACACTTCCTCCTCTCCGGCGGCAGTACAGATCATCACTTCGACGGCATTAATACCATTCATCCCTCCCCACTGGATGACACCTGGACGACCGTACAAACAAACTCCTCCTTATCCATCTGCGCCAGCACCAGCAGCAGCATCATTGCCGCCGATCTACTCCTGCCGGGGGCTGCGGCGGTGGGGCCTGCTGCAGAGTTGGAGGAGATTGGCAGCCACGTGGCATCATCTTCGGGTACTGGTGAGGCCGGGGAGAAGAAGAAGGAGAAGGGAGGTGGTGGCGGTGGGTGGCGGTATAAGGGAGTGAGGCGGCGGCCGTGGGGGAAGTACGCGGCGGAGATTCGGGATCCGAAGAGGAACGGAGCGAGGACGTGGCTGGGGACGTACGAGACTCCACAGGATGCGGCTCTGGCTTATGATCGAGCCGCTTTCCAGATGAGGGGAGCCAAGGCGAAGCTCAACTTCCCTCACCTGCTCAGCTCCGGCAACCCTTCCCCGCCGCCGGCATGAGCCCATTTGGCCGGCGTTGTTTGTAATTTTGGTATCCTTGAGCTTTTATCGGACCTTTTTTTTTTTTCATTTTGTTTCATTATGTAATAGTTTTAATTATCAAAACACCATCATGTAAACAATTTGCTATTTTCCTATGAAATCTTTTATCCGCAGTTTATTTCATCGCATTACGTTATATCTTTTTTGAATTATTTCTTCCATTTGCAAACGGACTCCATCATTCAACGTTCTTTGTTGAGTTACAAGTCTCACAATTTCATAGGTTACGACGAGTAATAGTAATTTTAGGATGATTTTTAGCAATTCGAATTAAATTAATCTATGGAATTGTTTTTTCATCCTAGTTTTTACCCTTACGAAATTGTTTTTCTGTTACGCAAATCTAGATAATAAATAAAAGCCGAATAATGAAAACTGTTGCTCCATTTCAAATTTCCTGCAACTAGAGTGATTATAGGAAGGACATTTTGGTCTTCACAATTGCTTATTTTTTTATTTATTTATTCACAAAAAAGGCATGCACTGGGATTTGAACCTTGGTCTCTTTAAAGGCAAGCAAGGATCATAACCAATCACACTAAGTATATTTATTGTATCTATTTAAATTCAAACATACACGAACCTAAATTATGAAAATCATATGACTTTTTTAACGATTAGTTGGCCACTGAATCTCCCGTAAGTACTTATTTGGTGTTTTAATACATTGATTATTTTAGTTGTAGTTTAATACTTAATTTAAATTTCTATCTATTTTAATTGCAGCCCAAATATCACTGGTTCGAATATTGCATATCGAATTGCAATATTAAACATGTAGAAGCAATATCGACTTCTTAAATTAATATTATTTTTCAGAATTACTATGGAGAAATTATATCTTTGTGCAAACTATATGAGACTGGTTCTTTTAATGTTTTAGTCGGGATAACCGCTACATTTTAAACTTCTTCATAATCTGGCATGATTGGATCCAATGATCATTATACAAGATTGTGTTTAATAGGGTGGCTCATTTCACCACTTTTTGGCGTGTTAATGAATTTGTAGGACAATGACAAGTCTACATCTACACTCATCACAATCTACACATCATATAAATGTGAAATGTGAAATGAGAAAAGAGGGATTCCATTTCAAATTTGATGCGTACAGAGCAATTTTTTAGGGGTAAATTTAGAAGATGCCAGTGCGGTCGGTCTGTTGAGCACGAAAGTAAAAATATGTTTTCATTTAAACGGGCCCAAACTGTTATTTGGCCCACTAATCGTGCACCCATCGCCAATGCAGTCAAATTCGGGATTTTGATCGTAAAATTGCAGGATTTTAGGATTTTACCTAGGGATTCCGATCTTGATTTTACTATAAAATCGGTGGACCTTAAAATCGTTTAAAATCGGGACTAAAATCGTAAAATAGTACCGAAATCGGGATTTTGATTGTAAGAGAACAAAATAGGTGGTTTGAGCCAATTTAAAATAAGTATAACTGTTTCAGCGGAAAGGGCAATGGAATCTTCTCAGATATTTTTCTATTAGAAAAATATTCAAAAATAATAAAAATAACCAAATTAGGGTTCGGTTAATCTCTTTCCCTTCACCCCATTTAACTTATTGGTAAAACACCTGTCCTAATATTGGAACTATGTAAGAACTAACATCATTATTAACTAATTAATTTATTAATGAATATATTTGTACCAAGCCACTAACATTACTTATTTTATTGGAGTTCAATTATTTTTAGTTTTAAATCATACTTAGTAGACGATGTCGAAATATTACTTTGAGTTAAACAACCTAGACATAACATGAAAATAAGAGCCAAACCCATGAACTATATCCCTTCATCATGAATTATTTTGAGTTACACATTAAATAACAATTAAAATAGTGATTTTGGAACATTAATCTTGAGAATTATCTTATGGAAAAAAAATCTTCTGAATTATCATTTTAAATGCTATGTGTCTTTGTGATATTAATAATTTACCTTATTAATATTCTTATATGCTATGTTCTATATGGTACTTAAAATCCTACGATTTTACGATTCGATTATACGATTTTGATTTTACCCCAGTTTTCGATTTTAGGTAAAATCTCGATTTTAACTGCTTTGCCCATCGCAGCCTCTCCAAATCTTCCTATTCTACTCGCCGTCGCCGGGTCATCTCCTCCACTACAAAATATCTCCTCATGTACTCAAAGTTCTCACTGAAACCTAATATCTACAACTTAGGCGCAGAGGGAGCAACCGATGGATTGTAGCGACCCCCACTATTTTGATAGCTAATCAAGAAGAGCGCGTTTGTTTAGTTGTATGGTGATTCACTTAATTAACAATTTTTATTCCGTTGACAGCCTCCTCTCCGCAATTGTATTGTGTTCACGAAGATCTGAAGGCGCAAGTGCAACAGGTCCAGGGGTAAACAATATGTATAAAGCGTTGGCCAAATTGAATTGAGTCATTCTACTTGGAATATGAAGATTTTTGCTTAATTGCTTTGGTTCGTGATGCAACTATGTTATGTTTGAAGGTAGACCAACGCAAACAACAACACAGCTCCAGGGCTATTCTGCACATTAGGTAGTTGGGGCATTAATTGATAATTATTTGGGATTATTCCTACAAGTACATAATTTGGAACGTGCCATTATATTGCATTGATTAATAGTTGTTTGAGATTTTTCAAATGAGTGATTTGACATGTTAAACTCTCTTATTTTTGAAAATGGAGTCTTCGAAGTGGAATATGAAGATTTTGGATTAAGCTTGGTTTCGTAACGCCCTTATGGGTGTTTATTCTCTAAAATGCACCTGTCTTTCAAAGTGCCCGTTGCAAATGGCAAGTCAGGATACAACGATGGTACCGGTACACGTTTATATCATTAGTAGGTAGCAGATTGTGTCCATTCTACTATATCATTTAGCTAAATATTTAGTTGTTCTTTTCAACTAAAAATTATGCTTAAATGCTGTGATTGGCCTCAGAAATGTATGTCTTTGCATTAACTGTTAATGATTGTGAGTTTTGGTTTAATGGTGAAAAGTCCATTTATTTAGAAGTCTAAATTGGGCAAACCAATTGGACAATAGGAATGCCATACATTAGTGTCGTGGGAGGTTTGTTTGATGTCTCAGGGTGTTAGATTTTTAAGAAGGTTGTTTGTTGTGGCAGAGAGTCCCTAAAGCTAGCGAGGTATTCCTATGTGGGCTTTTTCTTTGTTTGACTTTTTCTCGCCTTTTTTGTTATCTCTTTTTCTATTTTTGGTTTTTGTGTGCTACCTTCAGTTGCTACGTCTTCATTTGTGAGCCATCTATACTTTTCTTATTCAGTGCCTAAAAATCATATATACTCGATTGCATAGTAGTTACTAATAGATACATTTATACCAATAGAGAGATTTTAAGTTTTATCAGTTGTTAGTTTTAATATTTACTTACATTGGTTGTTTATGTAGTTTTCTTTGTAATATTTCTCATTATACAACTAATTACTATGGCTACGTAGTTGTATAAGTGGGGGTTGGACATGATAGTTCTTAGAAGCATCAATACTTGAAGGTTATTATAATGACCAAATTCTAAAGTTATTGTTTGCCTTCAACTTGCTTGGAGCATTTCAATTATGCATCAATTGTTCTCTCCGTGTAGTTAACTCTCAGACAAATCGAAAATCTTGCTGATGTGTGCTTGATTGTAGTTAAATTTAGGGTTCTACTGCATTGTTGCTTTACTCTTTTTTCGTGGTTGAGTCTGTTTCAAAAAATTTAGTTTGATTTTAGAAAATTTTGCTTCTGCAGTCCTGTCTTGCCACCAACGCGTTCAATAGATGGAGACGGGAGAGGCGAAGGCTATTTTTGTGTTGTTGTTGCTGGTTTAGGGATCGGTTTGTGAAGAAGAGGGAGAAGAGAGGGGGGAAAGGGAAATGCAGGAGAGGGGGATAACTCTTTTCTCCGACAAAAATGGAGTGAAGAAAGGAATTATGATCAGTAAGAATATGGTTATCTTACATAACGGTCTCTATTCTGTTTGAATTGAGCTTGAGAGGCAGTGATAAGGACGAGCTGCAACCAATTCATAGTGAGAAGAGAGCTATGAACTGTGATCATGTCTTATTTCAAGTTAGAAGGTAGTTTCAGTATAAGGATTATTTAATTTGACAAGTTGTTTCGTCCATGATTCTTGGTAGTTTCAGTGCCATTCTAGCCAATGTTAAGTCTGTAATTTTTGAGAATTGATGTGCGAGTAATGACTTTCACTTAGCTTCAACTATTATGTGTGTATTTATTGGCATGTGATAGAATTCTCTTTTCCTTTTCATTGAATTCATTTTCATACTCTAATTGTATTATTTGTACATAGGCAAATCATGCTCGAGATGGCAACTCGCTGATATGGCTGGTGCAAGGAATGAAGCCATCATTAGAATTCAGACCGACAACGGGGAGGGATGCCCAGGACTAATTCAATGATGATTGATGATGGTATAATAAAAACTGCAGTCTGCATCAGCACCAATTTCTAGGCCTAAGTAAAGGTATTCAACCCAGAACTCTGCTTAGCGCTAAAAATTGCCCTCACCCAACCTTGATCCTGTTTGACCCACTTCTGAAGAGTCAAGATATATGACTAATCCTCCCCGTTCGTATTTTCTTATTGACTCTTTCTGACCCTGTAGGTTGGGGCGGGTCGGGAAGAATTGGATTAGTGGGTCGGTCCTAATCAAGTGGAATCCCAATCCCTTCACTCTCACTTGCTTTCTCTCCCATTCCACAAGTGGGTAACATACAGTAATCCGGCCAACGGGCCGGGTAATAAGCTAGTACTATTTCATACACAACACCAATTCCCTTTAAAGGGAAAATCAATTCCTGCGGAGAAAGAGCTGTCTTTGGGCCGAAACGGATTGAACTGTGGGCCTCTCCTTTTGGGCCCAAAATTAGACAACAATCACAAAGCATAATCAGAAATTAGGTTCGTAATCACCAATTAGTTGAATAAATACCCGATGCCTAGGGTTTAATTCCAAACCAAGACATCACTGAGATTTATGTCAAACAAAACATCGAAAAATGCCGCCGCCGCCGCTCAACCGGCGGCGACGCTAACCCTAACCCCGTCCAGCACAAAACTCCCCGCCGACATCGTGATCGAAATCTTCAAGAAGCTCCCCGCCGCCGCCACCCTTGGCCGGCTCCGCTGCGTGTGTAAATCATGGCGCGCTCGTCTCTCCGACCGGGCTTTCCTCCGCCGGATTCTCGTCGCAGACGGCGATCGCGATGGCAGCCGTCAGATCATGATCTTCCGCCTGACCGGCGATCAAAAGCCGCTCTTCTCTCCCTGCTCGTACGACACTCTCCTCCCCCTATCCGCCGATCCACCGCAACCGGTCCTCCTGATCTCCACCGCCGGCGAGGACATGCGCTGCAATAAATGTCACGTTGTGGGATACGACAACGGCATCTTTTGTTTGGGCGACGGGATAGACGATCCCGGCGGTAAGAATAATCTTAACCATCACAATTTTAGGTCAAATAGTTTTGAGTATGGTCACTATGTTTGTTCATTTTTTTTTTCTTTCCATGTTTGAGATTACTAGCTAGTACTTCGGTTGATAAAATATGTAGTTAGAAATCTTTTATTTTTGTCACCAACATTTAGGACGGCAAATGAACGGAGCCAACTTGTAAGTAGCTTTTTTTGTGTTGTGATCATGGTTGCTTGTATCGCGAGTTGAGTCGCGAATTAAAATGCTGGATGAGATTACTTTTCAATCGAGCTAACCTTTCGTATTCGAGCTGAACAAGTAATAAATAAGACGAACTCAATCGAGAAAATTCGAATCAATTGTAACCCTGCTAGACCACACATTAATTTTTTTCAGGTTTCCATCTACACAACCCGGCGACCTCGGAGACCAAAGCATTACCCCCGTCGCCATTTACCACGACGGAATATAGCGGCGGCTCTTGTGGCCACATGTTCGGTTTCGACTCGAAAGCAAACGACTACAAGCTCATCAGGCTGAGAAAGGTCATCTACAATCACGCGTGGAAACGGGTCGAGGACGGCCGGAACGACGAGGGCGTCAGTTTCGCCGAAGTGTACAGCTTGAGGAACGATTCGTGGAGCAAGGTCGAGACCGACGTCAACCTCTACTGGTTTTGCCTCTACACGGCCACCTCGGCCCTGGAAAGCCACGACGGGAAGTGCTACCGTTGGGATAGACAAGACTGTAACGAAGAGAGGAAGAGGACGAGGGTCCTCTCTTTCGACCTGGCGAAGGAAGCGTTCGAGGTGGTCGAGGTTCTGGATCCTCTGGCGGAGAAGAGGCCCGCCGACTGGTACAAGGTGACGCGCCCTCGCCACGTCACGTTTTGGAGAGGCTCGATGGTGGCGGTTTTCGACGGCGGGAGGATGATGCCGGTCGGCGCCATGCTTGAGATATGGGTGATGCTGAAGTTTGGAGAGGCGGGTTCGTGGGTGAAGCTGTATGACGTGCCTCGGGGGAGCGACGGGAGGGATTACTATAGGTCTCGCCCTCTGGGGTTGTGGAAGGAGTGGAAGTGTGTGTTCGTGAAGAAGAAGGATGAGGAGGAGAAGAGGTCGGTTCGTGGGGGAGAGGTTCTTGCGTTCGATCCCGAGACTTGGGACGTTGCTGGCCTCGAGGTTCGAACGGATTCGGAGGAAATTAGGGTCGTATGGGATTATGTTCCCAATCGGGTTTCGTTGCTAGGGTTTTCTGACGCAAAATGATCGAGTGTTTCGTTTCGTTTTGTTTTGTTTTTTGTTGGTAATCGAGTTTACCTTTTCGATTTAGATTGTTTCTTTTGTTTCGTTCAAACTACTATGTTCGCACTCGTATTCGCATGCATGTATTAACGATTCTTTGTTTAAGGTTTAATCGTGGTTCAACTGTTTCATATCGCTAAATATAATCTACCAATTTAGCGTTCGATATGAGGTTTTTTCCTGGTCAAACCGCCAGTACAATTCCGTTTTTTCAATTCTTGATTATTTGTTTAATTGCCAAATTTTCTCATTGAATTAACCTATGCTATCTTACCTTTGGTAAACAACACAATATTTGAAAGGACGCAAGCAACAATTAAGCAGTCTTAAATTTAATAAACCTAGGGATATATCTATCTAAAAAAAAAAAAAAAAAGCAATTTCTCATAGATCCCGCCGGCCGTTATCCCAATCTATTATCCGGTATCTATGTATGTTCTTGCCATTGAAGGCCAAATAGCCCTATGTTACTATGAACGTTTGTCCTTTTCCCTTTAGTTTTCACTCTAAAGCTAATCGGTTGACTGTTTCTGTGAGTCGGTACCGATTCCTTAGTGAATGAACATTTCATAGACCAAACAAAGAAACGATGGTTTCTATGCTTATCAAAGTTGGACCATTTCAAGTGATTACAATTTATATGTATCATATAATTAGCTTAATAATGTAAATGTCCATGTATAAATACACACACCAACCTCCCCTTCTTCATTCATTCTTCATCCCCCATTCCGGCTCACCAAATCCATATAGCTTCCACACTCATAAGTACCCTCTTGCAAAAAAAAAAAAAAAAACCTAACTTCATCCAAAATGCCCAACATTTGGGCTCCACGCTCGATCACGCGCGTTATGGCACCGTTTCTGGTGCTACTCCTAGTAGTCACCAATGCGACGGCAGATCATCACATTGGTGACTACACACCTCCGCCCTCGTACTCCGACAATCCCTCACCGTCACCATCAGAACAGGCTTATTCACGAGTCTCCGCGAACCCATCTCATCCACACTCGTCATCGTTGTTCTGGAGATTGCCACCTCCGATATATTACAACTCGCTACACAAACCTCGAAGCAATCCACCAAAGTTCTATGTTGGTGGTGGTAGTAGTAGTACTCCTCCTAGTCGATCTTATCCTGAAAAGTACTACTCTTCTCCACCACCACCACCGCCACCGCCGTCGCCTGATCATTACTATGTTCCAAAGTCTCCACCTCCTCCCCGTCGCGTCCACAAATCTCCACCGCCACCTTCTGATCCTTGGTCGTCTCCTCCTCCACCTCCTTATCATTACTAAGGGACTAAAACTTGATCTCCAACCACCTAGTTGAGTTTATTCAGTGCTCCGGTACTGAAACTACGTGTTCTACGTTATGAGTTCTATGGCCGACTATAATCACAAACCATTTATCAACTTCTTCAAGAGACTTCTCGTTGATGGTGATGGATGACGAAGTGGAAGATCATGAAGAATTATTATTTATAGAGGATAGTAGTTTACGCATTGGCAAGAAGCTTTTAATATTGCGTTGTTTCCCCTTACTGAAAGAAAGAAAAAAAATGTTGTTGCATCACTTCCCGTTATTTAAGTTGTGATTTGATTGATAGAATTATGATTGTTGCTACTTTTCTCTTTATAGTTAATTTACCTTTCCTCTTAAATTAAAATTACGAATGTATGGCTCGACATGTTATGATTTATGAACTTCTGAGCTCATTCGATGTTAAGGAGCAAGAAAATGTTGTTTTTTTTTTTTTTTTCCTTTCTTCTGTTGAATAGGGAGCATGAGATAATAATGATATATCAAGGACAACTGGAGTGGACAGATCAAGGTCAAACTCTCGCACGCGTTGAACCAATTAAGGTCAAACATTCTTCGTACCTGCTCCATACGCGGAAGCCACATAATTATTAATTAGTACTTTTAATAGCTAGAGAGAGATTTCCGTTAATTAAAAAGAATTTAAAGTGGTATTGTTTTCCGGTGTAGTGCTATCAGTGACGGAAACAAATTATGGTAACAAAAAAACTATAGCCTTCAGGAGTACTAGGAACCAGCAATTAAGAATTTATACCAATCTCTTCTTTGATTTTTCATTTATTACATTGGCAATACAAGAAAATTAGAATACAGAAACACACATATATAGAGATCAATCTTTGTGGACCCTTTATTATAAACAAACACAAATCTCTTCGCAAAATAACAATAGTGCTTCAAACTGAAAGCCTTTCATCATTTCAAATCAAATGATGCCATGGTTTATCTCGATGTCAAGTAGGTAGTTCGACCTAGTAGTGCGATGGAGGAGGGGGTGATGAATAGTAGTAGGGAGACGGTGAAGGAGACTTCTTAGGAGGTGGGGGAGAACTGTAATGGTATGGTGGCGGTGGAGACTTTATAGGAGGAGGAGGGGACGAGTAATGGTATGGTGGTGGTGGAGATTTCTTAGGAGGTGGGGGAGAACTGTAATGGTATGGTGGCGGTGGAGACTTTTTAGGAGGAGGAGGGGATGAGTAATGGTATGGTGGCGGTGGAGACTTTTTAGGAGGAGGAGGAGATGAGTAATGGTATGGTGGCGGTGGAGACTTTTTAGGAGGAGGAGGGGACGAGTAATGGTATGGTGGCGGTGGAGATTTCTTAGGAGGCGGGGGAGAACTGTAATGGTATGGTGGCGGGGGAGACTTCTTAGGAGGAGGAGGAGATGAGTAATGGTATGGTGGCGGTGGAGACTTTTTAGGAGGAGGAGGGGATGAGTAATGGTATGGTGGCGGTGGAGATTTCTTAGGAGGCGGGGGAGAACTGTAATGGTATGGTGGCGGGGGAGACTTCTTAGGAGGAGGAGGAGATGAGTAATGGTATGGTGGCGGTGGAGACTTCTTAGGAGGAGGAGGGGATGAGTAATGATATGGTGGTGGTGGAGACTTTTTAGGAGGCGGGGGAGAACTGTAATGGTATGGTGGTGGTGGAGACTTCTTGGGAGGTGAAGGAGAACTATAATGATATGGTGGTGGCGGAGACTTCTTAGGGGGTGGGGGAGAACTGTAATGATATGGTGGTGGAGGTGATTTCTTCAGTGGAGGAGGGGACGAATAATGGTATGGTGGTGGAGGAGACTTTTTTGGTGGTGGAGGAGAACTGTAATGGTATGGTGGTGGCGGAGACTTCTTAGGAGGTGGGGGAGAACTGTAATGGTATGGTGGCGGGGGAGACTTCTTAGGAGGAGGAGGAGATGAGTAATGGTATGGTGGTGGTGGAGACTTCTTAGGAGGAGGAGGGGATGAGTAATGATATGGTGGCGGTGGAGACTTCTTAGGAGGAGGAGGGGAAGAGTAATGATATGGTGGCGGTGGAGACTTCTTAGGAGGTGGGGGAGAACTGTAATGATATGGTGGCGGTGGAGACTTCTTAGGAGGAGGCGGGGATGAGTAATGATATGGTGGCGGTGGTGATTTCTTAGGAGGTGGGGGAGAACTGTAATGATATGGAGGTGGTGGTGATTTCTTCGGTGGAGGAGGGGACGAGTAATGGTATGGTGGTGGAGGAGACTTCTTAGGTGGTGGGGGAGAACTGTAATGGTATGGTGGTGGCGGGGACTTCTTAGGAGGAGGAGGCGATGTATAATGGTACGGTGGCGGAGGAGACTTCTTTGGAGGTGGGGGAGAACTGTAATGATACGGTGGTGGAGGTGACTTCTTTGGCGGAGGAGGTGATGAATAGTGGTAGGGTGGTGGTGGAGATTTCACCGGAGGCGGAGGTGAACTGTAATGATATGGTGGTGGTGGTGGTGGTGAGGCATAGATGTAAGGCTTGTTGTCGTGGCCATCGGCAGCCACATGTGTCGTGGTGGTGGCGGCTACAAGGCAAAATGCCAGAGCACAAAGCAATTGATGAGCTCTTCTAGTTGTAGTTCCCATCTTGTGAAGAATGGGATGTTTGGTTGATGAAGAATCAAAAGCAAAGCAAAGGTCTTTATATAGGGGTTGTGGTCTATTAATTTTTGCAGGACAAAAGATATTATAATGTTGGGATTATTTGGCTGGTGAATATTACAGCCTGGACTCCAAGAAAATTGCAAATATATGTCATTGTTATATATATGTCACTGTATTTCAACGGTTCCTATTGGTGGTTTCCCACTACTTTGTAGATCTCCATTGCCATTTCTCTATCTTGTAGATAAATAATAGACCAATTTGGCATTTCATTTTGGGGTATATGATACGACTTTTATGAGAGGGTTGGTGAGGGTTTGTATATATTTGATTGATTATTGCATGCATATGGTAATCGGTGATCATATCATACAGCTTATAAGCTTGTGCATGTAAACGCGCTTTGATTATGTGAGAATATGTGATCATTAGTCCTTAATTATTTCTAAATTCGATTAAAATCAATTCAATTTGAAGAAGTAGAGAAGCGAACAAGGGCTTGGTCTAGAGTTGAGAGTGGTTGCTTCATTTCTTTTTTTTTTTTTTTATTCCTATGTTCGAAGGTGAAGAGATGATGAAAATTGTCGAAATTCGTTTCAATTTGTAGAGTTTTGATAAGATTGGACAATTTAGTTGGAGTTTGTTTTACGTATAAAAATATTTCATGTTAGTCGACAAAAATCAACTGATGGTGTAATTGATAACCTTATCTTCGATATAACTACTTCGGAATCAAGAGTTCAACTTTATGAATATTTCGAAACATTATCTTTGATCTAATATTTTTTTCTTTCCATAAACAAGAAATTACTCCTCAAATGTTGATAATTTTTCTTAAAATTTTATGGATAGCCCGAGACACACCTAAAGATACATGATCTGCCGTAATCTAACAACGAGGAAATCGTTAAGGTGAAAATACAATATACCAAATAGAGACTTCAATTTATTTAGTCATTTTGTTATGTCTCAAATTAGCCCTAATATATTAGGATGTTGATCGACAACTTGTATAGAATTTTGCCGGTGTTTCCTTTCAGATGAATATACAACCACATTCTATTACTAAAAAATATATCGACAGAGTGGTGGGTTATAATGAGGACATTTCGTTACCTACTCCTCACTAATTTATAAAGACTTTCAGCAACTCCAACATTTCCCATTAGACTAATAATTATTTGATTTTGTGTTTTTTAGTATTATTTGATTTGATTTTGTTTTTTTTTTTCTTTTCATTTTCTCTAGAATGCCCGGGAATGGAAAATTAATGTTGTCATTTGATCCATTAATCCACGGTTTTGGTTTAATAAACTAATAATCTCCTCCGTACCGACGAGGAACTAATCAACGAAGTACTAATAAGGACAAGAAAACACTAGCACAAGTCATCATGTACTTAACATGATATTAATACGGTCAAACTTCAATTGGGAGACGGCATCAATGAATAATGAACCACCATGGGGTTGTGAGATTTGTAATGGCGCGTTTAGATTTATGGGTTCTCTACATATACGAATCGAGTAGAAAATCAAAATCATCTTCACATATATTTTGAATTTCGGTTAATTTATGATAATAATTTCTCTTTATAAATTCAACCAACATGTTAACATTCACATGTATATACACATTATATAAGTGGAAAAGTACAAAAATAAATCACTAAAATTAAGAAAATTAATTAAAAACAATACAATTTAATAAAAATATTATATTTGTATGCTAAATATAAAATATGTTGAGAAAATTAATAATCATTTCTAGTAAAATAAACATATGCATGTGTATAATCAGGTTGGTTCGGATTGGATAGTGAGAAAACAATGCTCACCCATTACTCGCAATATCTATGTTAGAATTTTACCCATACCCACTAAAAAAATTTCGAGTTTGAATGCTTCCTTTCTCTGATTTTAAAAATTGAGTGATGTGTTCCTCACTCTATTTTCTTCATATTGATCCATCATTGAATTTGTCCATCCTTTCATCTCCTTTCCTTTTTCTGATTCATTTCTTTTATTTTTCTTCAGCCTTCTTCTTGGCTTCGGCCTTCCTTGAAAAATAAAATTACAAATCTATAGTCAAATAATTCTTCTTATGGTGACAAATGTAACAATTTGGTTTAACAAATCCAAGGACTTCCATTGAACATTTCATTATATTTTTTAAAGATTCATTATAGTTGTTATTTAGTGTTTGGCTATATGAATTCTTTTCTTCTTCAAAGGAAATATATATAATCCAGGCCTGCCAGCCTAATATCATCACTCGTCTTAGTTTAACCAAATTCCAATCGGTGGTTTCGCACCACTTTCTCAAAATTAGACTACATTACATCCTTTTGACATTTCTTTCGGTATGAGATCAGGTTGGTATAATGCATATATTATTATATATGGTATGTATTATTGGGCAAATTATACAAAGCATCTTCCACAGATGACCCATATACATTCCCAATTATATATGAAATGTAAAATTCTTGTAGTTAACAAAGATTTCGACATCTTATCAAGAGACATTTGATCACAGTAATAGTCAGTCATACAAGTTTTATGTACATAGGATTGGTTTTAAATTTACCGAATCGATTCAGGAGAATAATTTGAGCTAATGAGGACACACTTATACACATTATGGTTATATCTTCCTAGATCAGTTAGGTTTGTAGTTTGTATAACAATGTGGGTTATTATCAGGGTTAGGCAGCAGTCGATTGTCCAAACGTATATCAAATTGGGATAGGATCGGACCAAAAGCAAAGAAAACATGAGGATATATGGTCTTTTGGACAGGTCAAAAGTCGGCACTTCAATTAATAAATAAAATTCTAGAAATACAACCCTCTTTCCATTGAAAATTTTATATTTTTCATTTTGATTATCATATTTGAATCAAAATGTTATAACAATGAACATGGAAATATGTGAATTTACGCAAAAAAAAATTGCTTGTATTTTATTTGTATCTTAAATCTTTATGGTACAACATTAGAAATTCATTTAGTGACCAAAATAAAAAAAAATATAAATTAAATACTTAATATGTATGGATAATGAAGTTGTAATTCTATACGGTAATATCGGTTTACAATAGACTCAAATCATAGACCCAAAATAGAAATGGCCAAGTTTTTGCAAACAAGGTCACCTCAGTTGAAATCTTTCTACAAAATGTCCTGGTTTGGATAATTGTCATGAGGACTATTATGGACAAGGACCGAATCGTTCACCACCCGTGTCTGCCCACTAGAACAAAGGGGATGATCTTCTGGAAGTCTCTTCCTCCCAAGTGGATAACTCTCAACTCTGATGGCTCCATTCGCCATGATACGGGCTCCGTTCCACCTAATTAAGGGGTTTGCTCAAAGATCATTGAGGACACAGTGTTTCATCATCCGCAATTAATTTGGGGATATGCTCGATCACTCGAGCAGAGTTGAGAGGCGCTTTGGAGGGACTACAACTGGCTTAGGATCTGAGGTATAGACGTGTGAAGGTGGAAGTGGACTCCCGATGTGACATCCATCTTCTCAGCAGCAACGTGAACCCAGACCACCAACACATTGCTATTACTGATCGCCTCCAGGCCTTGATCAGGTGCGACTAGGAGGTTGTTTTTTCTCATGTTTATAAGGAGGGTAATAAGTGTGCAGTCTACCTTGTGAGTCGAGGGCATTCTTTGTCGATTGGTTT